CTGTTTGTTATGTGAGGTTACGGCCACTTGTGTCAGCATACCCATAATGGTAAGGAATTATTTATACATCAGCATTTTGGCTCTTGCCAATGGCTAACAAGTTTTTATGCTACAATTCCCATGTGTGTGTGCGGCGTAATTGCAGATATGGGGCACTTTATTGTGGTCAGATCTTATGCAAATATCTATGCAAATGTTCTGGCTAAATTGTGGGAAAATTGCCCCAAGGAAGTGTCGTGAATGGAATTAAATAATGATCCACTGAGTTTGATATATAAGTGCTTTTGTATAGGCGTTTAATTTCAAATAAATGATGTTTATTAAGATGTTGAACACATAGAGTTTCGGTTAATTGCTATAAATAACTGTTTGTGTAGATAATAGTCTGCTATTGGTATAATGGTCAAATATTCAAGCCTACTCTGCTTTTAAATTTATAACCACAAAACCTAATTCAACTCAACTGTTAATATTTCAATCTATATTATTGGACTTGCTAATATAACATTTATTAACTTAGTAGTTTTATTTTAAATAGATAAAACAGATTCAACTTTCTAAAACTTAATTTTTAGCTATTGAAAATGTCATTACTTTTTCTACATTCTCACCTAATTAGTTATTTTTTTAACCATCTTTAGCCGAATTAATACCAATTGCCAAGCAAACGTTTTTCTAACTTTTCTAAGTTTAGTATTTTAAACGCACCCCCAACAAGTGATAAATATGATGCCTTTTTTATTGCCGTACAAATACAGAATTGTGAAACTTTGTTTACCATAAAAGTTTGCTGCACGTCCGAATGCGAATATAATCAGCAACTGTCGCCATAAACCTCGATGCAGTTGCTCCTTCTTCTTCTCCTTTTTCTTCTTCTTCTGCTTCGTACAAACATGGCCAACACGCACACACACACACACACACAGACAGACAGAAATGGCAAGGGAAACCACACACACACAGGCGCATAAACAGTTTCCGGCCACAACACATTTACGCGCATTTTCATTGCGATTTCGCTGCTGGTTTTGGCTGCTGTTTGGTATTTACACGTAATTTGCACAGCATTTTTCAATTTTATGTGCTCGGAAATGGTATGACGTTGTTATTTATGTTCTGCCTTTGTGCAGGGCATTTCCCTTCATGTTGGCCATAAAGTGACGAAAACAGCTGCGAAAATTGAAACTGATGCAGGCAGAGCTAAAATGCTGACACAGATTTACTTGCAATTTGCGTTGGTCCCTTTTCCCTTTTCCCTTTCCCCTTTTTTCCATGTTGTTTTCCGGTTTTTTTTGGTGACTGGCGTTAATGGAATTTTAAATTCCATATTGTAAATGGGCCAAAGTAATCTTCCATTGGCCTGCAACTGACACCGGGGATACCCTGGGATTTGATCGGTATTTATTGCCTGATAGATGGGCTCTAGTCCAAATTCAGACCACCGCCAATAGCTAGTTTCCCTGTCCACCAATCGCGTTTTTTTGTGGAGTCCCCTTATCAAAATCAAAACAGAAGCCAAAGTCTATTTTTTTATCATCTCGATGGATTGACAGCTTGAACACATGATGACTGGGCGTTGGAGGGAAAGTCAGTTGTCTAAAAAGTTGTCATGTGAGTGTTAGTCATGGGAACAAATAATATAAGAGTATTGGACAGTTTAAGACCTCTGTCTGACCTTGAGATGCCTTTGAAGATGGCTTTCTTAGGAAAAAACTTGGAAGTCTCCTTCAAAACAAAGCAGTTTTTACCTCACAACAAAAAGGAACTATAAATATTTTTAAATAAGTTTGGTTAAACATTGAAAACAAAACAACCATTTTTATATTTTATTTATAAGTTTGCCTCTTAAAGCTATTGCTTTTAAACGTTTAAATATTTGTTTAGCTATATAAAAATATACAATAAATTTAAGAAACTTGACAAAATTTAGTTATATGCAAGTGTCTGCAATACTTCTTGTATATCTCTACAGCATAACACAAGACACATTTATAGAGTTTTCACATATCTAGGGATTACTATCAGGAATTTGTCTCTCAAATAACACTTATCTAGACCAAACATCAACATTCCCATCAGACACCTTGCCACCCTGGAAAACATTGGGTGTCATGTTGTGACTGTCATTGCTGGCAAATTTAATAAGCAATCTAGACATTGCCTTAATGAATGTCATAAATTAGGAACTATGTTTTCACTGCCGGCTAAATGGGAGGTTAAATTAGGAAGTTGAGCTGTATAGCTAACAATCAAGATGACATTTGTGTAGTTAAACCAACGCAACTCAATAAAAACAGAATTAAAGTGGAAGACTATCGCAGTGTCCGGGGGGGAATTCGAGTTGGTAAAATAGCTAGACACAATCACGTGCCAAGCACCAACTTCCTGGAGACCAAAAACAAGAACAGAACGGTGGAAGTTACGACCCGCACAGCGAAATAAAACTAAAAGGCTGGCAAACGGGGAGAGGTTACGGGTAAATTTATGCACACGTTAAGCAGCTCATAACGGGTAACTTAAAAGCCAACTAAAGATTCACAATGGGTGGAAAGTGGCGACACTTTCTCCCTGGAGGAGCACTCGAGTGGGCCATGAAAACGGAATTCATTTAAATTTATGAAGCATAGAATTTCATTTTGATCGCGGGTTAAAGCCATGGCCCATGCCACTTGGCCAAATTGTTTATGGGCTTATGGCGGTTAAACCCCACCGATTAACCACTAAATCAAATCCACGGGGAATTATCTAGAATGTCATTAAACTGGGGGCAAAACATAACCAAAGTGGATCATTAAAAGTAAGCTAGCAGAGAAAAAAAAGGGATAGGATGAATGTGTAATTAATTCTATACACTTTGAATATTATATATTAAATTAAACATATTTTCGAAATAAAGAATAAGTATCATTTAGAGATAAAATATGTGTTACATTTAATTAAAACAAAAATATTCAATCTTAAATTTTATTATTTTTATGGACTATGCTGTATTTTTGAAATAGCCTTTATCTTTAAAAGATACTACATGTGGGAGATTTTAATCAATATTATATAAAAGGTACACACATTTTGATAATTATTTCCATAAATACCTATCATATTTCTCAGTGTATCATTTCTGTTTCATAGTACATTTCTTTGGCTGATTAACTTTGTTTTTGCCAAGCACTTAGTGGCAAGTTGCGTGTTTGTTTGCCGCAGTCCAAAATGCAGTAATGTTGCATGCAACCAGAGGAGGAGTGAAGGGCAGCAGAGGAGACAGAATAGTTGGGTCTGTGGCAGGGTCATCTCACATAGCTAAGTCCCACTGCATGACAACTGTGGTAAAGAGGGGGGGTCGAGGGATCAGGGAATGAAGGCGGCTTAGACACATGTAAATCACATTGCGTCCCTCGAGCTCTCCTGCCAGTTAAAGCCGCAAAAATGAAAGCCTTTCAAATGTGGATGCACCTGAGTTGGGGATTTGGCCAGCTGCATGAGAAATGCCAACCAAATTGTTTATTTTTTGCTTTGTTGCGGCAAATTAGCTTGGAATAAGTAATAAATATTCAAGGATTATTCCACAGTACCGAACTAATCGCAGAAACGGAAATGTCTTAAAATATCCATTCGAATAATTGATTTGCATAAATTGTGCGTAAATGGATTTTGCTTGGGCAGATGATAAATTATTTATGAAATGTATCAAGCTACATTATTAAGGCTACCTTAAACAGTTTGCTCATCTTAATATAGCTTGAAAACTAGAAAATCAAATACCAATCATTAACAAGATGTATAACCCTTTGCAATCACCAAGTTTGTCTGTTTTTATGAGCCACCAAATTAGTCAGAAACCGCAGAACAAACAGCAAAAAGCGAATGACTTCCGGATGCCAAAGTCAAACTTTTCCCAGGGAGGAATTTCGGGGATAGAGGAGGGGCTCCTGTCAGTGGAGGGAATTTCAAGAACAGGAACAACACATAATCAATAAAAAGTCGAACGGAGAACAGAACACGCAGCACACAATCGAAATAAAGGACCACGGTGAACAGAACCTATGGACGGCATGAAAAGAGAAACAAAAAGTTGGTTGCTGGAAATCATAGATAGAACCACTAGATACCCTGTTTATATTTGTAGTCCAAATTTATAACAGGGTTTATATATATAGTTGCATTTTCATTATGAGATTCCATACCGCATTGAATTTGATAAACAACTTCCAAACAATTAGCATTCTTTTTTCAATCAACATGGTCAACAAATAATATTTTTTCAAATCTACTTGAAATCGATTGATTAGGTCCCGCACAATACAGTACTTTTTTTCGGCGGTGCGTCTTTGTTTGGCTGAGTTAGAACAAATAACCCTTAACAAATGTTTTTGGAATCCAAAACCCGAACTCGAGTTTCGGTTTTTGAATTGCCTTTAAATACAAAAATTAATGTTAAAAATAATTTTTGTTTTTTTTCATACATCGAATAACGTATAAATTATTACAATTAAAATTATTTTTGCATAGTCTTAATTTAACAAAATATAAATAAAGGCCTCCATCATATGAAGCGCACCAATATGCTTGACCTATCCTGATATTTATAGGAAAACCCATAAAAATGAACCACTCAGTCTGGGCGTTTTTATTTGTGGGTTGTTTCACGTTTTTTCTGCCTCGGGAACATTTTCGATTTCATTTTCACTTGCCATTAATTGGTCGAGCCGTAAGGAACTTTCAGCGGGCATTGGTCAGCAAAGCGTTTTCCCACACATGATATATATACAATGCAATAAATATTTGATTAATCAACAAAAAAAAAAAGCTGGCACTGAGTGTCCGTCCCACACGGCTTATACGCAACAAGTGACGAGGACGAGCTTTTCACAGCACTGCGATGGCTCTTGCTGTAAAAATTCATAAGTTTAACAAAGTTAATGAAAAATGCTCGCCTAGCGAACGATGAGCGATCTGACAACGACCACATCGTCTTGTCAGCAGTCGCGTCGGCGGAAAAGCGGAAAAGCTCTCCAAGTGCCAGTTGATTTCTTGTCGCGTCGCAGGCCAAACGTTTTCCTATTTTCTGAGACCCAAAAAGAGCGTGTGAATATTGGAAATATATTAATGGCCCCCCGAATCATCGATAAGGTCTACCAATCGCTCTATTGATTGAAAGTTAGATGACGCATAAACCTAAATTATGTTCGTTTAAATGTCGTGCCTCTGGCAATCCTGCGTGAAATTAAACTAATTAGTGTACCAAGCAGGTCGAGGCATAATATTACGCATACGCCTCATAAGCAAATACAAATTCGCTAAAACAACAAAGGTGTCACTGTGTCCTCAGTGCGTTCGTGTTTGTGCTTCTGGCCACCTGAAACCAGTTGAAACTGGTTGTTCAATCGGCCAAGAGCCATATATGTGGGCCAATGAAAAAATGCATAAAAATGTCAACTCATGAGAAAAATATCTTATTAAATAAATGTTCGATGGAAAAACAGCAGTGTTCAAAGTGTTAAACCATTCAAATTAATCTCTTGAATTGTGAAAAATATTAAATAAAAACTAATATTGGGAAAACCATTAAAAGCCTATAAAACTAAAATTTATTGTTGCAAAAATTGAATATTGAAAAAGTGTGTAAACTACTTGTTATTTATCCCCAAAAACGTAGATTGAGTGAATTCAGTAATTCTTGTGCAAATAGAGAACAAAATGTGGAACCAGGAATATGCATAAATACGAATCAGGAAATAATAATTTACCATTTCAGCGTTTAGCTTGTTTATCTCTATAAAACGGGGCTCATGTATCTATATGTATGTATCCGCCGAACCCCAGATCCTGCACGCAACCCAAATCATTCTCGAAAATAAGACCACAGATAAATACACAAAACACAAGCATCAAGTAGAATAGAATTACAGCCAAGGTCAAGGGCCGTATATCCCATGACCTAGTACAAAAACAAAGAAAACAAAAGAAAAACCCAGCACGCGCAGCTCCCTCTCTACATGAAAATCTAATTTTATAATTTGTCGTGGCTCTTCCTCTTGTTTGGTTTTTATTTTGGCAAAGCACAGAACGCAAAATTTTTATGTCATTAGCTTGTTTATTTTTGGCCAGAAAATGAAGCGACATTTTCCTTTTGGTCGGGTTATTATCTCTCTCACACTTGTCTTGGCTTCTTAATTGTTTCGCTCGTTCGCTTATTGCATTATATGGGTGTTTCTGTGGTCCTCATATAACGATGGTCCTCATTATTGCTGTAACCGGGCTCGTAAAAGAATTAATTATAGTTAGCCCCAGCCACTTGAAAGTGTTGTAAAAATATTTACGATCCATTTCATTGTTGTTCACCATTCGATTCTCGCTTTAGTTGATGGCTCGCGTGATTGACTTAGTTGATGGATTTTGGAGGGGCATCAAATGAAGGGGATTGAGTGTCGACGGAAATGCCCAAGTGGCTGCGAAAGGAATTATGCTTAAGTAATGCATTTTGGGCAGTTTAGACATTCTGATGATTGGCTTGGGAAAATCTTTTCATCAAAACGATTAGCCTTAAACTTTATGGGCTAATCAATTTTTGAATTATTGCTAGCTATTCAAGATTTCATTAAGAATTTCAGTGCAATCTGGCGTTCAGTGTGTTTAAGAAAGAAAATATTTATAATTGGATGATTCTTGAAAATTTCGATGTATATTTGGAATCCGTTTATTAGCTTGGGAGACCATGTATTTATGTTTAATTTTCATTTAATTCCTTTGCTGCCAGAGTAGATTCAAGTTATGAGAGCCATTTGTCACAAAGTTTGTTCTCGTATTAAAAGTGTTATGATTATTACCTAATGAAATCATATTTTGAAATTTCCACTTAAGTTAATGGTTTAATCATTTTATTGAATTATTGCAAGCTGTTCAAAATTTCATTATTTAAAAAGAGTAATCTTGCTTAAAGTTTGCTGTAGAAATAAACAAATTACCATTAATTTCGCTTCGATTTCCTTTGCTGACTTTTGGAAAATTTTAATTGAGTTTTCTGTTGTTAATGCTTCATTTAATCAAGCAAGCTGTTTATAAATGGCCCTGGAAATGTGTTAGCTAAGCACTTTTCAATTTGTGCCCGCCCACGTATACGGCCACGCCCACTCGCTGTTCCAGCGAACAGCTGTCTAAATTTATCGCACCAAGGCAATCAATAAGCGACCATAAAACTAATTGCGCCGTGTCTTCAACTAATTAAACTCGCACAAACACACATTGGTAATTGCCGAGCATTTGGAATTTTATTTAGTCTGTTTTTTCCCCTTTTTTTTACGCTCCTTACGTGTTGTAGGGTAACTTGAGCCACCGCGTTCGCATATCCTGCAAGTGAGTTCGGTTCGGTTCGGGCTAAGTAATTTTGAGCCGGAAACTGGCAATTTCCGTTGCCGTTGCCACACTCGCGCCCACTTGCACACACTTTCATGTACTTGTGTACGTTCACTTAGCCCCGAAAGCCTTTACTGCCACTTTTGTTGGCCAAATGTACAAGTCAACGAACTGAGCGGGCTAAAAAAATATTCGCGTGCTTGAGTTAAACTAAAAATATGACGTTTTTGAAGGGTGGCCAAATGGTCATTACGACTTTAGTTAATGATGGTCATCTCAACAATTGGAAATAAATATGAATAAATCAAAAATCAATATTCAAGCTACCAAATATTAATTTATTTAAATATATTTCATAAAATAATATTAACTTAATTTGTTTCCACATCTTAAAACTGACTATACATTCAAAAACGTTTCTAATTAAAAGAAGTAATTAAAAAATAGACAACCAAAATTGTGATTATATTTTTTCTGCGTGACAATAACCATAAACGGCAGTCGCGAGAAGCCAAAATTAATAATTACCATTATCTTCATTCGGGCGGCTGTGCGACCTCGGTAAATGCAAATAAATTGCTGGTCCTTTAAAACAGAAATTAAATTTAATGCAGGCCCAAATAACAAAGCAAACAAAAAGCGGTCGGGTCGGCGAGAACTGAAAGTTATTCAAATGAAACCACAGTAACGACAAATCAGATAACAAAGAGGGCAGGCACACGCACCGCCACACAGACAAAAAAACACAGACAAAAACACAGAGGCCATCCTGAGAGCGGTCAACAATTAGGAGAAACCACAACAAACCACCAACAGCACTACAACCACCGCCATTATCAACAAGTTCACCCCACCAGACGCACTCGAACCACCGAACTCACGATGAATTTAATGTTTCGCAAGAATTTCCGCGAGGGGGCTAGCAAATCGGGCGGCGGGGGTGGCAAGCTGCAGTCGAAGGCGAACAGGACGAAGCGCTCCAGGGACATGGGGCTCGTCCAGCAGCCGGAGGAGATCCACTACAGGACACACCTGTTCTTCTCGCCCAACCGACCCGGCTACGATGTGGGCGAAGGTAAATTGTCGTTCGCCTTGCAAAAGCAACCACAGCAGCAGCAACAACATAGCCACAGCATCACAGTGAACCATCGAAAAAGTGAACTAAATATTTAAAAAAGGAAGATTTTTTAAATATATATTTTAAATCCAGAAAACATAGCAGGAAACATAGTAGATACTCATCCATTAAGCAAAAGATTAAACTTAAAGTTTATTATATTTCAAAATCTTTCAAATGTAAAAAATAACTATATTTTCCTTACATTATTAATAATAAACTTCTCAAAAAATAGACATATAATTAAACAATTAGATAAGTTGAAGGAATGCTTTTTAATTTTGTAATTTTTCAGCAATATAATTTTATAAACTCCAAAATCTAAGTTGTGTCAGGCAATTAAAGAATAATGAATAAAATGAATGCCTGTATTCACTCTTTCGATGGTAAACTGTAGACATTTTAGCCTAGCTTTCATTTCAATCATCCACAAACATGGCTCATTCTCTGGCTCATTCTCTGTCTCATTCTCTCTCTCCACCTCTCTCTGTCTCTCCTGATTACTTTGGTTCCTTTGTAGTCGCTTGAGCCTGGCCCTCAGTTACTTGTGCTCCATTAACCTGACATTTGCATTTCAGCCATTTGCAGGGCATTCAATTGAAATGTTTCCATCAATTTTACAAATGGCCAACTGGCAGGTGGTGCCATTTATGGCGGCCTAATTGAGGCTTAGTTTAATAGAGGCTTTATTATTTATGAATGGCAACTGTTTGTAACAAGTAGAATGTAACTATAATTGTAGGATGGAAAAAAGTTTCAATTTAGTTTAGTTTGAGCGTACCACAAAGTAAAGTCTAAAAATGGATTAAAAGTACAAAAGTACAAGGGCATGTACAAATATTGGATATTTTTTTAAAAAATTTAAAATATGTTAATACAACAAATAATAATACATACCTCATCAACTGAACATTTTAAAAAACAGGCTTCTGATAATGTAGAATAATTTTAAAAGACCCTAAAAATATGTTAAAATATATTTTAAACTTACAATTTTTTTTAATTACTAAACCATATCTAATATAAAATATTATAAAATTTTTTTTTTAAATTGTTTTTGGTTAATAGAGGTATTATTTGATATTCCACCTTTCTCGAGTTACTAACCCCGTCAGGAATTCACCTTTTAGTGAATATTAGTTGCCATCGAGGCATTGCTTCTGCCTTCTAAACTGTGCTACTGTGTATCTGGAAAAATGTGTATGAAGTGGTGAGTGGGTTAGTGTGTGAGTGCCAGCATCAGCTAATCTTCCAGTTTCCAGTTGGCTTGGCTTAAGGGGCACATAGAGCACACACAGAAAGCTAAGCAAAAGCGAGAGCGTATGTAAGTTACCATTTGATTTCCCGTTTAAATATATTTCCACACCCACCGCCTGTGGCAATGGCCTTGAGTCTGAGCCGGAAACCAAGGTCTAAGGAGTTTTTCCAGCAGCATCAGCATCGGCAGCAAAGCCTACTAACCCACGAAACTGATGAATGTGTCTAGTTTTGGCCCACACTGTTAATAAAATCAGCCAACGAAAAGGAACTCAGTCCCCGTCTCCTGCTCCGCACTTTACACATCATATAGCACAATTTTGGGTAGATTTTAGTGGTTTAAAAATTAACAAAAGCGTTATGGTTATAAGGGCAATAATGGTTATAAGGACAACGATGGAATAATTTAAATTTGTTTGTAAGATTTAATAAGCTACTTAGCCCACTTTTCATATAAAAATGTTTTTTTCTAATATTTATTAGGTATTAAAGCGAATAAATAGGAACCAATAGGGTTTACAAATAAATATTTAAATTAATTATAATTTTATAAATTTATAATAATATCTATATTTTGAAGTTGCACAAGCGGAAATCCTTTTCACATGTTTATACAAATATTAGAAAACCCATTGGTCTTAAAAATACATTTTTTAAAGTTGGGCGAATTAAGACCAATTTTTATATAAATAATTAAATAACTTTAAAGTTGAATACAATAATTGGTTAAAAAAAAAATAATTGATTTTTGAGAGGAATAAAAAGACAAACCAAAATTATTCTTATAACTTCAATTGCCCCTATAATTAATACCCTTTCAAAGAGAATCCACCCAACCAGTCCAGCAACCGAAGCACAGAGTTTAAGACTTTACCACATCCTCATTGCCCCCCTCCAAGTTTTGTTGTTCTGTTTGCTGTGTGTGTTACGTTGTTTTGTGTTTTTTGTGTGCATATAAAGTATCGAGAGCCTCCAATTTTCAGAACGATGTAGCGCCCTGTCGGGCATCCCGAGCACCCCGCTGTCGAGCACCGCCCCCTCGCTGGCCCTGCCCGGCAACCTGCCCTACGAGCTGGACATTCCGCAGCCGCTGGTCGACCGCCGGCCGTCCGTCTCCCTCATGCGCTGGAGCAGCAGCAGCGGACCGGGAACGGGTACGGGTACGGCCACGGAGAACAGCAGCAGCAACAGTGCTAGCAACAGCCTGATCCGCCTGCAGCAGCAGCAGCAACTACAGCAGCAACTACAGCAGCAAATACAGCAGCAACTGCAGCGGCAGCAGCAGCAGCATCTATTGGCAACAGCAACAGCAACAACACTGGGGTACGCTGATGCAACGGTGGCCACGGCAACAACAACATTGCTAGCGGCCGCAGCTGCAGCCACGCGGCAAGGTTTGATTCCCCCCTCAACAAAAAAAAAAAAAAAAACAAAAAATTATGAGAACCGATCTGATTCTGATCTGCGATATCTCAACTATAGTTGTTGTTGTTGCTGCCCAAAACTCGAACAACACTAATGTCATTTGCCAGCCAGCTCACCAAAAAAAAAACACTTAAACACAAATAAAAACCTATATGTTGCACCATCCTCCTTCCCAAAACAAACACCCTCCTAATCCCACTCAAAAGTTTACCCCAATTAATGTTTGTTGCACGATGTTGTACGTTGCTAACCTCAAGAGTTCTTCTACAATACTTCAATGTGACTACTTGCAAGTTCTGTCTTGTTTCCAATTTTTGTTTCCTTTTCTATATCTGATCTGATTGTTGGTGAATACTAGTGAAAATACTGAAAGCTAGACATGTTCTCGGATACGCTAAACAGCTTTGCCTCGCTTTCAGTATTTTGCGGCAAGCTTCAGGGGAACCACATGCACTACAAAAAAAAAAGCTCTGGGATCGATCTCCTATAACTCTAGCAAAAATGCCTATTAATCTCTGCTCACAAAAGGATCTTAAGGCGAAGCTTTAAAGCGATCATCATTAGCTTTGCCAAAGGCTAATACGTTTTATGTACTTTTACAACTAAATGGCTAACTTTATAGTTTCTGAGTTCTTCGAGACTATACTAATACTGTTTCACTGTACTTTACAGTGAACTTTGGTGGTGGCGCCAACTCGGGAGTCACACGGGCGGAACCCATCTCATTGGCCACCTTGGATCGCGACTGCTTCATCATTCCCGTGCACAGTGTGGATCGATTCCTGCCAGCTGGCATTCCGGTACGTATACCTATCTAAAATTATTAACAATTGGTTAAATTATTTCATTCTTGGGGGTTCTTTTTAATTTAAGCCCAAACAATAAAAAATATAAATCTGTCAGCATTATTCTTTTCTTGAACTTAATACAGATGTTTCTTTTGGATAACTTATCATAATTTTTATGGTCGCCTTTATTGAAAATCTCTTTAATCAAGGTTTCTAGTATAGTTATTTTAACAGCTTTATTTCATGAAATTTTCATGAATTAATTTACTTTTATATGTTTAAATATTGGCTTAAAGAAGACTCCTGAATATATTTTAAAGGAATGGAAATAAATTAAAATAAATGACTACCATATTCTCTTGTATTTCTCAGCCTTTCTTCTTGACTTGCATAACATTTAATTAAAATTGAATTTCATTATTCAGCTGCCCGCTTTGAATGCCGAGGGTAAGGCCACCAGTCCGCTGAGCGTGTTGGAAGTGTCCGATCCGAAGCTGTGCATCCTGGTGCATTTGATGAGTCCCCTGGAGGCCATCGATCCGGTGATGGAGTCGCCGCTGTCGCATCCGCTGCTCAAGCAGCGCTCCATTGCCGCCGAACTGGTGACCGAGGTGCAGCAGGCCAACACGGCTGTGGGCGGAATGCTGCTGGCCAACATGGAGAAGAGCTGTGGGTGGTGCCAGTATATTGCCAAGATATAAATAATCGGGTTTTCCCCCTTTCCCCAGCCGAGTTCCCCTTCATCTCGTACTACCTGATCAATACGCTGCAAACGGATCCTTCCAGTTTCTATGCCGGCCTGCGCGTCTCCTCGCTGTCCAAGTTCGAGCCAAAGGCCCTCAAGTGAGTGCTCCAGGCCTGATTGGCCGGGCTTCCATTTATTGTCCAATCTCCAATCCAATTCATTGCCAGATACACTGCCGCCCACACCCTGGATTTATACAGCGAGGTGGCCGCCATTTGCCGCCCGCCTTTGGTCCTGCCCTCCAACGAGGCCGGCAGCTTCAAGAAATCGCAGACCGCGGCCACCGGCTACATTATTAGCGTGTTCAAGGTGGAGTATTCCTGAGCATTCCAAGCGGAATGGGGCGTTTTCATGAAAAATTCAATTTTAATTCCGCAGGTTTTCGAGGGCGACGATGGCGAACGATTCGAAAAGAATTGGCTTTACTGGACTGGCGCCCGGATGCTGTACAGGTACACTTAGAAAAATAGTTGTCATAAGCATCCCAATTAAAAATATATTTCTTAGATAATTTTTCAAGGAATTTAAATAGCAAGCAGCGAATTAATATAATTAATGTGCTAGGTTTTTGACATCTTAACATCTTTACTTTTTTATGCTTAAGATATTTTTTCCATTTTCCATTTTGAAGTTTCAAATACATTTTATACATTTTTTCATATTTGACTTTTCATGTGAGACATGATTTTGCATATTTATTTTTGCACACCTAGATTCATACTAAAATGGGTATGTTAGGTTTAATCATTCCACAATATTATGTAGGGTAAAATATAAATGATTTTTTTTTGATTTAAAACCCTAGACATTATATTTTCCAAAATATTGATTGTAATTTCATCTTTAACTACTTTTATAATTTTGTAATTAGAAATTCTGCAATATTTTTGAAGATGAAAACTGAATGATTTTTCTTTTGAGTAATTGTTTCTGCACTAGTTGTTATCTTTACAAGACTGTAAATAAGAAACATATTTTTTTAATTTCTAATATCGGAAAGTAGAGTTTTGCAGTGTTTGAAGATGATAGCTTGCGAGATGGTAACTTCCTGTCCGACTTCCGGGTAACCCGTCTGATTTTTGCTCCTTTTCAGGTACTTGCCACGTGCCGCCGGCCTGAGGCGCATCGCGCTGCACAAGAGCACCTCGCAAAAGGGCGACAAGATGTACCTGCTGGTGTGCGAGTGTGCCGACCTGCTCAAGGACATCTCGCTGGCCGCCTTCCTGATTCCGGCACTCCGAGCCCGACTCTGCGGATATACGGGACTCTATCGACCAATACAGGCCTTCTAGTCGCCGGAACCACGTAGTTTTCTATCTCTGTATCTGTATCTGTATCTGTAAATAGTGGATCTAGCGATGGGTAGCTGGCTGAACTAATGCGAAACAAACACTGCAATATGAAAGAAACTGCACCTGTTAAGTGATTATAATTCGATATTTACTAGGCCTAAACCAATTTTTACACTCTCTCCAGTCGAACTCCCAGCTCTGATAAAAGCAAATGTGGAAGGGGAGTTGTGCTAGAGAACCATCTTTTAGGCATCTAACTTAAGTAGTAGACAATATACTCAAGGTAATCCATATCGTGTGCTAGATTTTTCTATAAATCATATAGAGGCAAGCCCAATTAATAGGACCATATCTAGTGTGAGTTGGTAGCGAAGAAAACTTCCATTTTAGCCACAACAAGTATAGATTCGGTGGGAACTAATTTATCATAGTAGTAATCCCAGTAGTTAATCACAAATTTAAAGCTGAATTTTTCGCTGAAAAGTAGGCTATGAAATCTGCAAACCAAAAGTCAATTCTTAGCATAGCATAAAACTAATATAGATTGTCGAGCTGGGGGGTGAATAAAATTGAACGGGTTTCATCAGAGGGATGGGGGATCTAGCTAACTTTGCCCAAATCTAACAGAAATCTGCCAAAGAGAAAAGCAAATCTAATCTTAATTTAAATTAACAAATTGTTTAAAATTTAACATTTTTTTAATCTAAGCAAATGAGTAAGCCAAATAAGATTTTCAATCAAAAATTTGATTATTTAATGCTTGGCTATAGCTTGCCACTTACAATTTAGGAAATATACCATACATATTAACATACATTTATAACAATTGTAAATAGTTTGATGAACTTTAAGGCACTTGCTCCGAACACACGAAAACGCCAGGTTCCTGGCTTCTATTTGAGAAATATATAATTTTGCACAATAAAAACAGAATCAAAAAGTGCTGTGATAATTAAACTAAAGCAGAGCAGAGCCACAAAAAAAGCAAAACTAAATAAAACCAATGTATAAGGATAAACCATAGAACTTTATTTCACACAGTCAAAGACAATATCATTTAGCTGCCATTGAAAATTCACAGGACTCTGGCTTATTTTTTTCCAAAATTAATCCAATTACTTAGATAAACTAGAAACAGACAACTTTCAATGCTTATGCTAAGCCTAAAGCCTAAGGAAATAATAATTACCAAATGTTCGAAATTTTTTGTCACATCTTAAGCTATAAGCTTGGAGCAAACAAACGTTTGGCGCGCTTAGCATTAATAATAAAGCGTAACATTAAAAATACATTTAAATAGTTTTTTAACCAAAGATATTATCGAACAAGTATCCGCCCCGTGGTCTCTTAAAGTCTGCCTCACGTTTTCGGTGCAGGATATAGGCTTCCAGCTTTTGGGTTTGCAGTGGACCCCAGTTGGCAGTGGGTTGCATGGCCATTCTCAGCTTCTGCAGGGTTAAACATTAGTATTATATAACCACAAAGACATATTCAGTACTTACACTGCCAAAAGTCTTGCCTGGCTGCTGGAAAATCGTGACCAAAGCCCAGAAGGGCAACTGCAGTACGCCCAGTCCCCAGATAATCCACCCGGCCATATAGTAAGCCGGTGGATACTGAACTCCTCTATAAGTCAGTGGCTCATAGCTGAAGAGCATATAGACCAGCACAAGGAACATCAAGCCAGGTGCCACAATGGCCCAGCAGATTCGCCAGTAGAAGCTGGTCTTCACATTCAGCATAAACTCAATGTCGCTGCAGATGCGCTTGACACCATAAATCCAGCCCACTGCCAATAACTCCGCAATGGCCAAGACCAGGGCTATAAAAGTGCAGCCATAAAAGTCGACGAGATTCAGCACAAATTGTCCACCGGGCGTCATGTAAACCAGGCCACAAAGGAATCCAATCACCGATGCACCCACAGCCAGCAGCCAATGGGGCAGATGGGTGAATCGATCCTTGACGACATTCACCACAGCACTGGCCATTCCGATATTCGATCCTATGCCCAAAACCAGCAGCATGAAGAAGAACAGCACGGCGAATAGTTGGGGCAGATACTTGAACTTGGCAATCGCCTCTGGATAGGAAATGAATGCCAGACCAGCTCCACCCTTCACCACCTGCGAAATATCCGTGGTGTTGGTCTCATGCGCAAGGTTGCCCAAAATTCCAAAGATTATGCAGCCAGCCAAGATGGATGTTAGGGAATCTATGGTGGTGATTATGATCACGTCTCTGCAAGGTTTAAGATATAATAAAAGAGGGATTTATATGATATTTGCATATCTTACTTGTGCACATTCTTGTTAAAATCATTGAAGGAGGCGTACATGACCAGGGTGCCAAAACAAATGGCCAATGAGAAGAACATTTGGGTGATGGCCGCATACCAGACATGTGGATTCAGTAGCTCTGACCATTGTGGCTTTAAGAAGTACACAATTCCCTGCCAGGCTCCAGGCAACGTGACCGCCCGGATCAGCAGGACGAACATAATCACATAGGGAAAAAGGGCCAGGAAATAGGAAGCTTTCCCCGAACTTCTAATACCCTTTGACAAAACGGTGCCAATAATAACCCAAGTGGCCAAAAGACACAATACCAGATCCCAGCTGGGAGTTCCCAGGCCACTATCATCCAAAGTTTCGGGCTCCCGGAGAACTGTTTGCCTGTATGAAATGAACGAATAGTTATGATTTAAATAAGGGACTTTATTCCTTTAAACTTACGTGAAAAACAACTCTGCGGAGGACACACCCTGCACAATAGATGTATCATTGGCGGCCGAGGCTCCTGTGGCCACACAGCTGCTGCCCCATTCCACCAGGCAGTAAGTCCAGGGCAGGACTTCACTAAAACTGGCCACCAAATACCGGATGGTCAATGCCATAATGCAGGCATAGTACGTGGTAGCCAACGCGGTGGAATACACCTGGCCATAAGCAATGCCTGAGGAAAATGTAATTGTGGTAATGATTTCACTAAGTTACTAAATTTTACCATTAATTTTTTACATTAAAGAATGTACTATTTTATTAGATTTTGGTGTGCATATTTCGAATCTGGCACTATAATTTATACCGCATTAGAGTTTTAAAAATTCAAATTTTAAATTTGAATCACAAGCGAACGAGAAGATATGTATGTAATTAAAATTTTTTATATAAAATGGCCCAGTGCAACAATTTTGTGCACATACGGTTTTCAAAATACTTAAAAACTATTGAATAAGGGAGCTATATGCAAAAGTTTGCTACTACATCAATAAAAACAAAATTGTATTTTTTTTAATTTTGAGGTAAGGTTGAGAATAAGGACACCGCATTATATTAGAGTATACTTCTAACTCATGTTCATTTGTTGTGTTTAACAGTGTTTTTAGAATGTACCTTTAAGAATATTAGAACTCACCCTTCATAATAGGCACCATATCAAAAGCCTTGATGCAACCACGACTCGAGAACTGGCCAATGATGACCTCCAGATAGTAAACAGGTCGGCCGATTAGGAGGAGTACTATCACATAGGGTATCAAAAAGGCACCACCTCCGTTCTCCAGAGCAATGAAGGGAAACCGCCAGACATTTCCAAGACCCACGGACAAAGCGATGCAGGAGAAGAGGAACTCCACTCCCTTGCCCCACTGCTCTCGCTGGAAAGAGGACTTTGACTCCACCTCCACGTCGCAGTTTATGGTGAGCTGCTTAGATTACAGGATCTGTTATGCAAATTCCATATACGTATTGGATTTGAAAACACTCACATCATCTCCTTCGGAACTGTAGACAACTGTACTGATGCCATCATTGGACTGTGGATGTCCTTCTCTGGATCCTTGGGCTTCCTCCATTCCCCGCCGAAGTTTTTGGTATTCTGCAGCGTCATCCATATTTGTGAATTAGGGCTAATTTAGGGTACAAGACAATAAATGAAATGCAGGCAGTAGACAACACAGAAGCTCAGGTGCATCTAGATGGACGGCCACAAAACAAATGGCTGAAAAACAATAGCTTAGTTTATATAGATCAGAATCTTAAGTACAAAGGTCATATGAAAAAAGGGCTCGACCAAATCACGCGATCTACTTATTTCTAGATCAAATTTCAGCAAAACTAGTCAGCTAAAAATATCAAACAGGCAGCAAACGTCATTTGATTTTGTTAATTCGTTAGTTTATGAATTTGTTTACTTCGAATTTTATAGCTCTTGATCGTTTAGCTTGCTCAACAATAGAAACTCGAACTTAATCCCTGTGAATGTTGACCAATACCGGTGAAAATTTGCATATCTAAAATTAAGTCAGGCTTTTCTGTTGTTTCTATTGTGTGCAATTTCGCGGCTCAATAATTTTTGCAAATCACTCCCAGCTGGTTATTAATTGATTAATATGAAATTCACAAATCTGCTAATAAGAATTCATTCTACTTATCTCAAAAATAATTTATGAGTCTTTCGGCTGTTTACTGATAGGCAAAATTGCAATCATTAAAGGTTCAACGCGACCATTAATCACAGAAACTGAATTGTTTTACATGTTTTGCAATTGTTGCACCAAGGTATGACCAAAAATTTTTGGAATCTTAAGAATTGTCCAAAGAATCTCTTATCAGAAAGCATGTCTGTCTAATCAGAAGTGTTAGCAATCCCAAATGAAATCTAACAGCTAGACGAAAGTTGTTGACATTAGCTCTAAAGATTTGAATGGTGGTCTTATCACAGTATGCTGGGATTAAGCTATAAACCCAAAGTTTGTGGGACCAATTTCTCTTTTTTTATCTCTATCAAAAACGCACTATTTAATCTGCAACCAGCACCACACATTTTTTAACAACGAGTATTTCTTAGACATACACTTCGAGTTCCCAAGAGTAAATTGTCAACCGTTCTTAACAAGCAGCTTGATGCGACTAACTGGCATATAACAGATAATCTACTAGGAAACCTATGGAACCCACGCAGCAGCGGCAAAATCAGCGTTTGATAAACGCCGAGATGATCGTCAACTGCTCTCTCATTTTTAACGAAGCCAGCACATTTTCTGGTAAGCCAGTACTCAAAATAAATCCTAAGAGATAATACAAAATCTATAATAATCTACTTAACAAACTGATAAAGCAATTGGGAAAGTGTTTCGTATCTTAATCTCGGTAGCTCTGCGACCCTGTCCTCAAAAATGGCAAATCATTTCAATTAACTGTGCCAGATTCCGACTCCTAAACCAATCGAGGCTTATCGATTCATCAAGCCGCCGCCCTAAACGAGACTTAACCAGAATTTACAAATACTTATTATTTATGGGTACAAAAACTGAACGCCATTGGCCAACAATTACAATAAATTTGGTTTGTTTGTCTGCGGAATTTTCATGCTCAGTGTTATCTGTTGGGAATTGGTGTTCCATTTGATTTTATCGACGATCTCGGGATTGCTGATGACGACGCAATTGTAGGGAAGGCAGATGATGCATGGTATGTTGCGAATTTTGATGATGATTGCGGGGATGATGCAAACGCGAACGGAGGGAATGCCTGGTTGAATGCTGAAGATCGACATGCGAATGACGAGGGCTGACGGATCGCTGGTGTTGCAACAGTTGGTGCTGCAGTGGCTCAAAGAATCTACCATGCGGTGGAGACACTTCCTGCTCTTGTGGATTGGTCCAATCGCAGTTCATGCCGTTGCTAATGGGGGTCTCCCCTCGATCCCGATTGCCACTGCTCCTGTTGCGCGGAACTTCGTCAGCTGGCACAACTTCAAAAAAATGTTGACCACTATTGCCAATAATAATTCTGGCATAACCTTGACTGTAGAAAATTATGAATTATAATTATATGGTTAAGGAAAAGTTCGCTGCATTGCCATTACTTACTCAATAAGTTTGGAAATTGGGCCAGCTTCAATTTAAGTGTACAATCCTATTACTCTCCGCCTCCACGTGATAGTGCCCTAACAATATTGAGGATCTGCCGGTGGACATTTAAAGTAATAGCAAGCTGGCGAACTTTTTGTTGTTTCACATACAGATAGAAGAAGCCTTACTTACAGGGTCTGCTTCAAACGCTTAATCTCTTCCTGCATAATGACATTCCGCTCCTCCTGTTCGACTCGCGCCATAGAACCCCGTGCTTTTTGCTCCTTCAGCAACTGGATGACATGCTCCTGCCTCCTCACCTCCTTTTGTTTGAATGTCAAAGTTCCGAAGAGATTGCGGGACTCCTCCTCCTTGGAGGCCAGCTCGATGTTTACCTGCAAGGAGTAAGGGAATAAGCATAAGCAGGGCTATCAATACCCGGCCGGCGGACCTGATTGATCAGTGTGTCTTTCTCGCTAACTTGATAGTACATTTTGTCCATCTTGGTGCGGTTCTCCTGCTCGTTCTTCTGCAGGCTGTTGATCAGGTCACTCCGAGCATTGAGCATCTGCTGGTCGAGATTTATCTTCTCCCGCATCTTGACCATCTCCTTGTTTAACTGCTCCTCGGCCTGGACATGGCTCTCTGATTCATCGGACTTGACCTTTAAGGCTTCTTTAAGCTCACTGGGTTTTAAGAAAAAAGTATACAAAGGAAGTTACAGTAAGATGGATTTTTCCATAAATGATATTTAACCCACCTTATCTGCATCACAGCTTTTCTATATTTTCCACTCAAATCGTCATAGTCCGCGTGCTGCTTCAATGCATTGCTAACTTGATTGTTTAGAACATTTTTATGTTGCTCGAGATTGTGCAGTTGCAACTTCAGATCGGCAATGATCAGATCCTTCTCCATGACGCCACTGTCCATGACATCCGGACGCTTCTGCAGATTGACGATGAGCTCGCGCGCCTCCTTCAGTTCGCCCTCCAAGTAGGTGATCCTTCCCAAATGCTTATCGATGGATTGGCGGGCTCGTTCCAGACCAACGTCCGCCTCCTCCAAGCGTTGGAACATTCGCTGATTGCTATACGAGGTATATAGGGGTGGTATATATCAGTAAAGATCCTTTGAAATGACCGGACCAGTTCACTTACACAGACTTCAGCTTGGCCAGTTCGGATCGCAGTTCTTCGATGGTTCCATCCTCGTCTATCAACGAAGCCTTCTTCTCGGCCAGCCGAATGGACTGTTCACTGACCACCTCCTCGGTGCGCCGCAGGCTCTTCTTCAGCTCACTGATGACCTGATCCCGATTGGCCAGTTCGGAAGCCAGCTTAGCCTCGTGCTCGGCCTTCAGTTGGTTCATCTGGTCACAGTGCTCCTTCCTGATATCAAAGTACCGACCTTCCATGTGCTTCTTCTCCAGCCGCAGATCCGCCATCTCGCGATACAAACTTGGGTTAGCACACTCGGTTTTTGGGTTGGGATTGCACAATTGTTCGATTTCTTCGGTAATGCTTTTCATTTTGCGGTTCTTTAAGAAAAGTTATAATATGTTTGTCTAACGTCAGGTAACAGATTTATATTTTGACCTACCACCAAATTCTTCAACTTGTTTCGAATGTCCTCGCGTTTGGCACGAGCCTCGAACTCATCCTTTGCCCTATGAATGAACTGCAGGTGATCGTAGAGTACCATAAAGCCCATATCGACCACGGAACGACAACGATCCTTCAAATCACGGACACTCTCAGCGGCTAAAAGTAAAAGGTAGAGGCGTAAGCATATATAATTTCTAGTTAGAACTCAATAGCTATTGATTATAGTAAAACAATTGATTATTGCTCTCTAAAGTAAACAGATTATTTTAGGCCTTAAGGTATGCAATCAAGTATTGGTCAGTTAAATTTAGAATTCATTGCTTACTTTTAGACGGGTGGTAGATAGTAGATATAAACTCACGCAGATTCTTGGGCAATCGCAGCAGGTCTTCCTCGTGGACCACGATCTTACACTCCTCGTTAAATACGAAGGCCACGAACTTGTAGACTCCCTCAAGTTTTTGGGAACCCAAGGAGCGCAGTTTGTGCATAAACTCTGATTGCATGTATTCCAGCTTCTTTTTCTCCGATTCGAGAGCCCGCACCTTGTTCAGTTCGATTACCCGGCGATGGGATTTTCCTGAGAGTAAGGATAAGGATTTTTTTTTCAATCAGGAATTGTGCCACTAAAAACTAACCAGTATCATCTAAATTCTCCTTCCTTTCATGAACCAGGACCTTTGTGCGACGCGACGGAGAATCCCGCTTGCAAGTTTCCTTGTCCACATCAGTTTCACGATCGTGATCGCCCAGTTTACTTTCGAAGGGAAGTCGATTGGGCAAGGAGCACGCACTGACACTGGATGGACCTTTCAATGGAGATGCCCGAACTGGGGAAGTGTTTCGCGAGCTGGTACCCAAACCACGACGGATCGGGATGCGGCTGGTCGGGACGCGGATGGTCGGGACTTGACTTCGGCTGCGACTGGTGGATCTCGAGCCAGGATTAATGGAGGGAGCTGGAGCAAATTCTGCGCACCGGGTGGAAGCAGGAGCCTGTGACAAAATATTAAACACCGAACCTCTATAAATAAAATGCATCCTCCTTACTCACCCAAGACAAAGTTGTGGGAGTGGGTTTTTCAACGTTTCCCTTAGCCCTCAGCATGGAAGCCTTATTACCTATTAAGGATCAGATGGACTAAGACATCTATATAATCCTTGCCTTTACATCTTACTTACCACGAACTTTAGACGACATGTTGTTATTTATATGTGGAATATGTGGTGAAATTATGAGAGTTTTGTAACAGATTATTTTGATCAACAAAACAAAAAAATATATAAAAAATTTCGATAAACAATTCAAGTTGTATGATCTAATGGAAATGGTACAAAAATACTTTGTTCTAAACGTGTTCAACTTTTGAAGTATACTGAATACAAAGGCATGGCCCACTATAAAGATAACTTTTCCACTGTACCCGGTGACTTTGTTTAGGATGGAAATATGAAAACAAATGAGCTCTATCAACAAATGCGAAACTTATGGTGAAATGGAAGGCATGCTAAATGAGGGGCCAAAAGTAGAGTATCGGTTCGCTCTCTGTGCTCTCGGTAATCCATTCGTGGGACCCGAAATGATGCACATCGTCTGTCCAACAAACGGCTCGGGAAAATTTGCATTCAGTTGCCGTTCGTGAGCCTTCCGAGTAAGTTCACATTTGGAATTTCCCTTTCCAAAAGGGGTTTTTAGATATTATTTCAGACATGATCCATCAATACTAAGAAGTAAAAGTGCCAAAAAAATATCTGAAATAATCAAAAACTAGATTTTATAAGTTCAACTGCGGTAATTTATTAAATGTGCAATTGAAAATGGGGCTTACAATATAAGTGCAGTACTGAAGAGAAGCCCTAATAGTGATTAAATCTATCGACAGTGCTTTTTGTCACCCTCTAGGGGCTGTTATTTAGCTTTAGACAGTCGGCGCGTTTTTCAATTGAATTTAATCAGTGACGTAGACGGTCCGTATAGTACATATATACGCAATGCGATCCGATTTTCAAGGGGTAAACAACATAGCCGCCTAGTTCAAGTTCCGCATGGCAATTGAGCCACTGTGGTTCGGATCTCAAAGGAAATGGAAAGTGTCTGAAAAAGAAGAAGAATACTGCACTGCCATTGACATCGCACAAAGTTATCTAATTGAAGGCTTTTTCTACGAATTCAAGTTCAATTCAGAACTGGGACCCATTGGCTGCCATTGACATTCAATACGAATGCGGATAATTAAGACAATTAAGTGCTTTGCATATGGTGACCAGAAATAGTTTTCCCCAACCACGTGGCTGCATTAAACGAATCTAAAAATTGTATTCCGACCTAATTTCACATTGCAGCTCTACACAATGAAAGCCCTGGAATGTTTTATACTGGTGCTGGCTTTAGCGAGGGTTTTCCCCTGGATCGAGGGCTGCAATAGGGTTCCACTGGGAGCCACGGCAGCCAAGTCACCGGTGGATGATAATTACGTGCTCTCCGTAAACGGAAATACCCAGAGTTATGTGCCCGGTCAGAGGTATAATGGTGAGTAATCAAAATATTGTGATGGTAATGCTACTTAAAATTAGTCTAGTCACATATGTATGTATTTTGTTTACTTTAAAGTATAACTAAATTAACTAATTCACTTATCTGATTCTAAAACCCTCTTCCTCTTTGTTATTTAAGTATCCCTCAGTGCATTTTCGGGTTTATCCTTCATCAGCTTTATGCTATCGCTGGATCTGGAGAGTGGCGATAACGAAGGTGACCCCAATACTTTGGGCACCTGGGAGATCCCTGACCTGGCGGAGACCCGTTTCAGTCCGCGCTGCGCAAATCTGGTGGAAAACACCAACACGAATGTGAAGACCCGCGTGGATGTGGTCTGGGTGGCTCCATCGACTCCAGGACAAGGATGTATCCTGGTGCGGGCAACGGTGATGCAGCATCGCGATGTGTGGTTCATGGACGATGGCTTCCTCACCAAGCGAATGTGTGAGGAGGAGGTGGATGACATTGACACACAGCCCAGCATCGTGGATCCTTGTTGTGCCTGTGACGAGGCCAAATATGAGGTGGGTTCTGATCTTAAAGTGGATGGGAATGGATTAAAATCATTTCTTTTCACAGCTTACCTTCGAGGGCAAGTGGTCGCGGCACACACATCCCAAGGACTTTCCTGCAAACAGTTGGCGCACCAGGTTCAGCGATATTATTGGCGCCTCGCACACCTTAGACTATAGATTCTGGCAATACGGGGAGTTGGCCAGCGAAGGTTTGCGTGAGGTGGCAGAACATGGATCCACGAGAACCTTGGAGAGTGAGCTTAAGGATCAGAGCGAGCACATCCGCACTATTATCAAAGCCAGGGGCATAGCCTATCCAAATGTGACGGGCAAAACTTTCGCTGTTTTTCGCGTGGACTCCAATCATCATTTAATATCGTTGGTCTCCATGGTGGATCCCTCACCGGATTGGATCGTTGGCGTCTCTGGTCTGGAGTTGTGCCTGCCCAACTGTTCCTGGGTGGAAAGCAAGGTTCACAATCTCTATCCCTGGGATGCGGGCACAGACAGCGGTCCATCTTATATGGTAAAATGATCTCATTGAGTCAATCTATCAGACTAACTTTGAGATATTTATACCCGTTACTCGTAGAGTAAAAGGGTATATTGTATTCGTGCAAAAGTATGTAACAGCTAGAAGGAAGCGTTTCCGACCCTATAAAGTATATATATTCTTGATCAGGGTCACTAGCCGAGTCGATATAGCCATGTCCGTCTGTCCGTCTGTCCGTCTGTCTGTCCGTCTGTCTGTCCGTCTGTCTGTCCGTCTGTCTGTCCGTATGAACGCTGAGATCACGGAAACTATAAAAGCTAGAAGATTGGCATTTTGCATGCAGATTCTAGGAGTTCCTACGCAGCGCAAGTTTGTTTCAAAAAGGTGCCACGCCCCCTTTAACGCCCACAATCGCTTATATTTTAAAAATTTAAATATTTCGGAAAAGTAAAAATGCAGTATTATTGTGTTTATCAATACCTATCGAAATGTAGAAGAAATTTTTCAAATCGGACTATTCGTTAAAAAGTTATGCGTGATCAAAGTTTCTATCTCCATCTCCCTCGCACTCCCTTTACCTGAGTAACGGGTATCTGATAGTCGGGGACCCGACTATAGCGTTCTCACTTGTTTTTATTTTAGTCTGCTGACCAGCCGCAGGTGCCACCAGACGTGGTACGTCGCATCAAGTCCAACTTTCCCAATGATCCCCGCTCACCGTTTTATGACCCAACTGGCGCTCAGATGAAACCACTGGCCACCTTGCACATCAATCGACGACGTCTCTACGAGAAGAACTGCGAGTCAACCGATTGTAAGTGAATATAATATAAATAATTGATATATAAATGAATCCTTAATCTCTTATCCTGTAGCGGAACAACTGCCGGCGGAGTGTGCCACAAATTCGTGGTCCAGGTGGGATGAGTGCACCACTAAGTGTGGACCTGGAAAGCAGTACAGGATCCGTGAGTTCAAGAATCCCACGCTGGCTTCGGTGAGAAATAGGGCTTAATGGATTTATAGTTACAATACCTTTAATTGAACTTTTTATTACACATTAGCGTCATCGTTGCAATAATGCCCTGCGTGAGGAGAAGAACTGCGTGGGAAACAAGTGCGCCAGCTTCAATGAGGAGGCAGCCGAGGGAGCCGGAGAACCGGACGCTGGACCTGTTCCTGGCAGCCACGACGATCCGCAGTGTGGCATATCCGAATGGTCGGAGTGGTCCTCCTGCACGGTGACCTGTGGAACAGGCGAGATGACCCGATCCCGGCACTATCTCAACAAGAAGGCCAAGAAGAAGTGCCAGAAGGCGAGTAAGGCGCGACTGCACGAGACCAAGATCTGCGAGGCCATGGAATGTGGTGGGGACATCGAGAACGCAGGTGGTGCTGGCGAACCCGAGGAGGAGCAGGCTGGCGGCGAGGGTGGATCAGCCGAGAAGCGATCACTCTTCCGGAACTTCGAGAGCTACAGCCAGCACACGGAGGATTATATACCACCCGTTTGCGGGGTTACTCCGTGGTCGGATTTCTCGCCCTGCACGGGACCCTGCGGTGGACATGGCAAGCGACAACGCATCCGCAAGGTGTGGAACAACAACGAGGTGTACGGAGTGACTGATCCCAACGACGATGGCCAGGATCCCTGCGCGCACATTAAGCTGCACGAGGAGGTAAACTGCACGAATCCCACTTGCGACACCATTGTTCCCGTTTTCTGTTACGATGAGCTGGTGGACAGTCCATGTCGTGACAGCGATGTGGCCAACTTCTGGTACTATGACCATGTGAGTGACCAGTGTTCCATCTACTGGTCGGATCGGTGCGACATCAATCGCAACAAGTTCAAGTCGAAGGAGGAGTGCGAGGAGACCTGTCGCTTGCCTCGCCACAAACAGGAGCTCCAGCATGATGGGGTTCCTGCCATCGATTGCATGGTCTCCGACTGGATATCCCACAGTTGCAACGCCTCCTGCGGCGATGGCTTCCAGTTGCGCACGCGCCGTGTGGTGAAGACTCCCAAGTACGGAGGGAAACCCTGTCCCAAGCACCTGGTGCGCGTCGATCGTTGCTATCAGCGGTGTGATGACATGTACTCCATCAGTGGTCGGGGATTCGGGGAACGGAGGCACGTGGTGAAGGCTCCACAGCCGGAGTTACGAGACGAATGCCGCTACTCGGAGTGGTCTGCCTGGACGCCCTGCACCGCCACCTGTGGCGACAATGCCGTTCGCCAACGGACTCGCACCCTTCTAAACACGGATTTGAGCTTCAAGTGCAAGGATCGTGTCCGCATGGAGAAGTGTGTGATGATGCCGTGCCTGCTAAACAGCAACGATGAGCCGGAGCGGTGGTGAGAAATCTACAGCTTTGGCAAGTATTATATATACACAAACCATGTAATCATTATCGAGGGATATCATTGAATTTTTCATTCCGAAAAATTATCTGTCCCAAAATAAAAAGCCTTAAATAACTTATGGTTTTTGGTGTTTTTATTAAAAGCCCCCTTCTTATGGAATGAACATGTTTCCAGTTTTCACAAGCCAAACCTAAAAATTGAGCTGTATTCGCGACAGCCACTTCCACCAAAGCGATGTAATTCCGAATCCGATCAGTTTGTCCTTGACCCAGATCTGTTGTATAACTTTGAGCAGTTTCCGAGTGATTTTCGCCGGGTTCCAAGTTCAAAGAACTCAAGCTCAGAGCGTTTATTGAAGAGCGTGCCATAAAACAAACCATTCCTAATTGAAAGCAACTCAATCAAGATACGAAAGCGCCGTTTAATGGGGATAATTGATAAATTGAAATGCTCATCGATTAATGGAAGAGGCGACTCGCTCAATTTTGGCACTGCAGCTGCCAGTTTGTTGGTCAGTCGTCGTTGAGCTGCGGACAAGTACGTATCGCTGAGATCGGAACAAAAATGTTCTGCCTTTTTCTTCTCCTCATTCTGCTCGTTTCTGGGGTAAGAGGAGACTGCAATCGGATTCCTCAAGGAGCATCCGGTGAACGATCGGCTGTGGATGATAACTTCAAGATCCTGATCGATGGCAATCCAGAGACTTATGTGCCAGAGCATCAGTACAATGGTGAGAGGTCCGGCAAATTCAGGAGAAATTGCTACTTTACTTTTCCCCTTTAGTTTCGTTATCCTGTCCAATCAACATGAAGTTTGTGAGCTTCACTTTGGTTATCGAGGCGGAAGATCGGACCCTTGGTGGTGAGGATATGACAGGTCACTTTGAACTGCTGGGCACCACGGATACCCGATTCAGTACAGGATGCGAGAACATGGTGGAGAGCACAAACACAAACGCCAAGATCCACATCGCGGTGTCCTGGATTGCACCACGTCATCCCGACAGTGGATGTGTGCTGATCAAGGCGGGCGTGGTGGAACATCGTGATGTGTGGTTCCTGGATGATGGCTTTCTGACCAAGCGGATTTGTCCCGAGGAGATCGACGAGCTGAATAGCTTGACGCCAGCTTTGGAAAACTGCTGCGCCTGTGATGAAGCTAAATATGAGGTGCGATCAGACATAAAAGTCTTTGATGATACTAGAATTCGTTTCTCTCCAAGATCGTTCTGGAGCGCAAGTGGGCGAGGAACACCCATTCCAAGGATTTTCCGGCCGAGGCCTGGCGTACTCGTTTGGGTGAGGTGATCGGAGCTTCCCACAGCTATAGCTATCGCTACTGGGCCTACGGAGGAAGAGCTAGCCAGGGAATGAAGGAGATGGCTGAGCATGGAGCCACCCGCACACTGGAAAACGAGATCAGGGAGAATACTCAAGTGGGTTACGTGGTTTCTCAATCTTTAGATCTTTTTAATCCAGTTTTTCCAATAGAATGGAGAAGTGCGGACTATTATTAAAGCTCCTGGCATTGCGCACCGTTTGAATGCCTTTGGAACCACACTGGCTAATGCTCGTGTAGATCCTGTTCATCATCAGATCTCGCTGGCAGCCAAGATCGATCCTTCGCCCGATTGGATACTGGGGGTGGCAGGATTGGAGCTTTGCCTAAGTAACTGCACATGGCTGGAAAGGAAGGTGTTGAATCTGTATCCTTGGGACATAGGCACCGATTCGGGTCCATCTTATATGGTAGGTGATAGAGTTGTCAGTATGAATTTAGTATATCCCCTTTGAAGTCAGCAGATCAGCCACAGGTGCCACCGGATGTGGTACGCCGCATTACATCCTCGTATCCCAGCGACTATCGATCTCCATTTTACGATGACACTGGCGCCTCTATGAAGCCCTTGGCCACTCTTTATTTGACCAGGAAGAAGCTTTACATCCGGGAGTGTGAAGAGGGTGAGTCACTCTTTAGTTTATATAACATACCCTTGGTTATCTCTGAAATTAGTTCCGCAGGAGGGTCCCCTTGAGTGCGCTGTGCATCCATGGAATGAGTGGTCCAACTGCAGCACTCGTTGTGGTCAGGGCTACTCCCAGCGCCAGCGTAGCTATAAGAATCCCAGCCTAGCAGTCAGCTTCAACTGCAATCTTCGCTTGGAGGAGATGCGTCAGTGCCAGGGAACCCAATGTGGAGCAGGGGAGGAGGAACTTGAGGCCGAGGAGCCTGGCCTGGGCATGGAGAGTCCACAAGGCGGTGGCTCAACAGCCGAATGCCAGCTGAGCAACTGGAGCGAATGGTCGCCGTGTTCCAAGACTTGTGGCAGAGGATCCTCCACTCGCAGCCGCGACTACATCAATTCGCAGGCAAGGCAACGTTGTTTGTCCGTCATGCGACTGCCGATGGAGGAAACGAGGCAGTGCATTGGATCCGATTGTGGTGGAACCATTCCGGATAACGGCGAGCTCGATGCATTACCGGATCCAGATTTATTTGGGGAGTCAGATCAGGGCGGGTATGATGGAAGGAGACCCTCGTGGAGTGGCAGACAGGATGTCAACAATATAGGCTCTGGTAACCAGGTGTGGAATAGAAAGGGTTTTAATTCCGGAAATGACAGAACACCTTACAGTCCCATGGACAACCAGCAGGAGTCACCAAATTCACCCTTTGGTCAGATAGAAAAACCGCAGCGTCCTGTTTACAATCCATCGGACAATGCAGGTGGTTATGATAAGGGATTTTCTTCTGCAAACAGCTACAGCAATGATAAACTGGTGGGCAATAGACCCGGCTATAGTGATTACAACAATAGGAACACCTATAATGAGTATACTACTCCTAGCTACAGACCTGGATTCACCACACGAGCTCCCTATGGGGGGCGGTATCCCAGTCGGCAAGAGGATGTAGAGGAAACCACCATCGACAACAATTATAATGTGGTTCAAGATTACTGTTTTGAGAAGCCCTATGCCTCCACCCGACCCTGTTTCGCCACTCCGGTGGTGGTGAACAACTTCTGGTTCTACGACCACGAGGATCACGAGTGCAAGATCTTCACGACGGATAACTGCGATGAGAATAGGAACCGCTTCCGAACCTTGATGGCCTGCGAAGCCACCTGTCTGCAAACACAGATCAATATGGAGCGCTACGAAAACGACGCTATGGATATCTACGGAGGTGGATCTTATGGTCAAGCAGGAGCTGGATCTTATGGCCAAGGAGGAGGTGGATCTTATGGTCAACCAGGAGCTGGATCTTATGGCCAAGCGGCAGGTGGATCTTATGGTCAAGCGGGAAGTAGATCCTATGATCAAATTGGACGTGGATCTTATGGTCAAGCAAATGATCAATCGGAAGATAGATCGTACGATATGTCGATAGGAAGAAAGTATCATAAAAACGGTGATAGATCCCTTGGTCGAGGAAGAGGTAGTACTTATGGGCAAGATGCAGGTGGATCTTATGACCAGGAGACTGGAAAAGCTTACGCCGAATCAGCAGGCGAAATTGGAGAACCCATGTCTCAGACCAGAAGTAGATACGACTCATCAAGACGCGGTCGTTACGGTAGCCGGTAAAACATTGAAATAATTATTACAGATATGGGCTAAAAGTTCAGTTTTTTTATTAAATACATACCTTTTTTATTTATTTATTTTTATTTATTTTAAAATATATTTTGGCGATCCAAAATCTCTTAACAGAAAGCCAAAGAGAACGTCTCGACTTCGGCTTAAGAGCCCCATTTCATATTTTTCCGGCTTTCCGGCAATGTGGGCTGATAACAGCTCCGACGCGCTCTATTTGTATCAGTGGGTCAGAAAAATAAGGCGCTCCTAGCTTATCGGAGGGCTTAGTCAGCTTCCAAGTCTCTCTTCTCGGCTTTTGGCAAAGTAATTTTGAGGAAGCTTTGCTCAGTTTGCAACAGTCGCTCGCGTCGAATGGTTCATTTATACGATTAGAGAGGTCCCAAATCAAAAGCACATGTGGCGGTCAGGTCCTGCTCCTCTCGTGGGGCTTCTTCTGGCGGCGCTGGTGATCGGCAGAGTCGACAGCCTGATCTGCACGCGCCGCCCGGCCAATACGGCCTCGCCCAAATCCCCGGTGGATGAGAACTTCGTGATAAGCGTGTCGGGCAATCCGGAAACGTACATTCTCGGCCAGGAATACAACGGTGAGAACGAGTTCATTGGCCTTGCGCTTGAACTTCGTGGGAGATTGCCGCTGGAATCTCTTGAAAGGCCTATCAAGGCGTCTCCACAAGTTTCGCAATGTTTTTTGTTTAGTAAACAAAAGTGGCGCTTATCTGGGACCTTTGCGAATTCGTTGAAATTCAAGGTCGACGATAAGGGCCCGGCTTGGTTTGTTTTGTATTGTGGAACTCAGAGTGTTTTTCTTACAGTCTCTCTAAATGCATTCAATGGACACCGCTACATTAGCTTCATCATTGCCCTGGAGAATGAAAATGGGGACTTTAGCTACCAGGACGACTTGGGTCGCTTTGAGCTGAGCGATCTTATAGAGACCCGTTACAGTCCCAACTGCATCAACATGGTGGAGAACACCAATACCAATTCGAAGACTCACATACACTTGACCTGGGTGGCACCCAGTGAGCCAGGCAGTGGCTGCATCCTGATCCGGGCCACGGTGCAGCAACATCGCGAAGTGTGGCACATGGACGATGGAGGATTAACGCGACGCATCTGCGAGGAGGTCACCGATGATGTGGAGAGCCAGCCAACGAGTCCTGCGGTGGATGTACCCTGCTGCGCCTGCGACGAGGCGCGTTATGAAGTAAGCTGTTTAAAGACTTACAAAAGTTCCAGTTACCTTCTTGTTTTACGGTCTTACAGCTTACATTTGAAGGGGTCTGGTCCAGAAATCTGCATCCGAGATACTTTCCTGCACGGAATTGGGAGACACGTTTCTGTGAACTTGTAGGATCTTCGCACAGTTCCGACTATCGGTTCTGGGAGTCCGGAGCACTGGCCAGCTTGGCAATGAAGCAATACGCTGAGCACTGCAGTTCTCGTCTTCTGGAACGGGAGTTTAGCATTAATTTTCGGGTGACTCTATAATACATATACCTACGGAGGAGGACTCTAAGTTATCGATAATCTTTCACAGGATCAGAAAATACGCACCATTATCAAGGCACGAGGACCATCGTATCCCAACATGAGCACCAAGTCCATGGCCTCGGTGCGAGTGGATCCCACTCATCACATGGTGTCCTTCGCCTCCAAGATTGAACCCTCTCCGGATTGGATAGTGGGCGTTACTGGTCTGGAGCTGTGCCTGCGCAATTGTACATGGTTGGAGGAGAAGGTTATCAATCTGTATCCCTGGGATGTGGGCACAGATGCGGGTCCTAGCTATACGGTAGGATGATATTGATAGTACTTGATAGGAAATTAATATTTGGTTTTGATTTAATAGTCAGCAGATCAGCCACAGGTCCCGCCAGATGTTATTAGACGAATGCGTTCCGACTTTCCCAATGACCCGCGTTCACCTTTCTACGATGACTCCGGAGCTCCCATGAAACCAATGGCCATTCTCACGGTGAAGCGCCTTCGCATCTATGAGAGAAGATGTGCGGATGAGGATTGTAGGTGGGGTCTTAAGCTGGGAAACCCTAACTAACCATATGACAATTCCAGCTAACAATGATCCAGATGTTCCACGCGAGTGCCTCACCCATCCTTGGTCCAGCTGGAGCGACTGCTCCTCCAAATGTGGCGATGGTATGCAGTACCGGAGACGTGTCTACAAGCAGCCGGAGTTGGCCAAGGTCTATGATTGCAATGTGCCACAGTATGAGGAACGGGAGTGCCAGGGCGAAATATGTGGTCAAAATAGTCCAATGCGAATCCCAGAAGAGTTTGAGGATCTGGAGCCGGCAATCGGGGGCTTTAATGCAGGCCAACAGCGGCCGGCAGAGTGCCGGCTGAGTTTGTGGGGCAGCTGGAGCCCCTGCAGCGTCACCTGTGGCGAAGGTTACGAGATGCGCCAGCGGCAGTACCTAAATCCCCAAGTGGAACAACAGTGCCAGAGTGTCCATCGCATGGAGTTGCAGGAAACACGCAAATGTTCCGGAACAGCATGCCTTGGTAACATACCCGGATCCTACAATGGCGACAGGGATACTCCTTATGGAGAGTCTTCTCCTGATCGCACTGGAGGTAACATGTATAGACCACAACCCGAACCGGACAGAGATCCTTTTGGACTATACGATGAGCCAAGAAATGGAGATATTGATGGCTTTGAGGTGGGTAACCTTAAAGGCAACACCGGAAACTGGGCAACAAACAGGCAGCCAGAGCGTCAGGTGAATTCAGGAAGAGATCTTCCGCCCTACAGGCAGTCGGATAACGAAGGAACCTACAATCCACCAGCAAGGACAGAGCGACCCACTTGGCCAGGGCAACCACGACCCGGTGATCCGCGCTTGGAGGATGTGGAACGATCTCCCTGGCAGCGACAGAGGCCCGCCAACAAGTATGGCTCGAACTTAGATGATCCTGAAGATTATTCACCAAGGCAACCATGGCAAAAGACAAACAATTATGGCAACCAGGATATGGTTGGAGGAGAAGTGGACTCCTCGCTATCCAATCGCTGCTTCCAGATGTTGCGAACGATGCAGCCACGTTGCCGGGATCAAACGATTACCGGCCAGTTCTGGTTCTACAATTTCTGTGCCGATGAGTGCATGCTGTATGCCGCGGATCCGTGCGACCAGAATGTGAACAAGTTCAGTCGATGGGAGGATTGTGAGAAGTGCCGCCAGCCGGAAATGGCTGCACTGCAGCAGCAGCATACCAGTTCGCCCGAGTGCGTGAATCTTCGGGAGATTTGGCAAGAGGAGAAGCGGGAAAGGGAAATGAAACGTGGCTCGAGTCGGAGACGCAATTATGGCGGTTACAGGCAACGCACTAGAAATTAGTCTTACTTTTAATAATTAGCCATTACTTAAATATATTTTAAATATGAAAGGAAGGCTTAAAACCTTTATAATCTCAATCATTGCTGTTTGCAGGCTAGAAATAAAGCTTCAAATTTAATCCCAATAAATACATAAACATGTATATATGTTAATTCTGAATCTAAAGATAAAACATTCATATTTTTTAAATTCGATAGACGCAGTCGTTGTAAGTTCGACTTATCGATAACTCCAGCCATAAACACCACATTCTGGTGTCAGCTGATTTTTACATGGGAGAACAGCTGTCAAAAAGAGTGCAAACTTTATGCACTTCAAACCCACAACAATCAAAATTATTAAGGTTTAAATTAAACTAATTTAGATCCAAATAAAAATTCTTTGTTGTTAACTTTTCATAACTTGGCAACTCTTGGGCAAAAAAAATTGCACAAGCGAAAAAACAAAATAAAGCAAAAGTATAGGAGGAGTAAATATTGAAAAACAAACATGCAACGTTTGGGATTTATGATAAGACATGCTACGGCAGCAGCAACGCATCCGCAAAATCTGCGCCCGTTGTCCATTTACTGGAATTTGGCCCAAACACATAAGCCGGCAGGTGGAAATGGAAACCCCGGAGCACCCAGGACGAGAGACAACCGGAGTCCCAGAACAGCCGCCCAGAAGATAACCCTCGTCCAGCAGAATCAGTCGATGAGCATAACAACATTGGAGGAGGCCCAGAAACTGGCTAAACGACGGGAGCTGCACCTGTTGCGCCTCGAGCAAACGGATGCCAAAACAGGAAGAGCCATGTTCAAGTGGGTATCATAACCCCAGATTTCAATCATTATTAAGTTCATATACTTTACAGACTAGTCACCGCTTCCGAAATGCTGTCGGATGATGCGGAGCAATCGAAATCCTCCAGCGAAAAGGCCAAGGAGAAAAAGTCGGAAAAGTCTCTAACCATTGGTGCCCGCATAACGGAGCATGATCTCTCCTCGAGGCTCAAAAACATTGCCAAGTGGCTGGCCAAGAGGCACGAAGTTCGCATCCTCATTCAGGGCAATGCCAGCGGATCTGATGAGAGCAGCGCCGACCGCATAGTAAAAGCCATCGAACAGACCATCAAGGAGCCACAATTGATAGGCAGAATAGTGCAAAAGCGCAGCAAGGGATCCTTTATCAAGTTCAGCATCATGCCATTAGCTCCGCCGCCTGTTTCCCCAGCCAATCCTACTGCCATCCAGTCCTGACAACTATCGCCGTTGCCTCGGATGTGCCATAATCACTGCACGGTAATGGCAAACCCACAGAACTTAGCCTTCACAATGTCTGCCCGCCACTTCGTTTTGAGAAAGAAAAAACAGCCCGTCAAGGTCAATATCTCTTCCATTTTCACCATTGTGACACTGTTTCTCTTATTTTTTTTCAAATATTTCTACTGGCATCAACATTTAATAAAACTAAAGGAGGAACAAGAAAAGAAAAAAAAGAAGAATCGACATAGTCACCACCATGAACATAATCTGCATGAACACGATCATGATTAGAGCTTAAATAACTTAAGTTACCTTCTTACCTCAAAATTTTACAATCCTAATAAATAAAACACCATGAAATAAAATTGTATTGGCTTTTTCAATCCATATTATCAAATCAAAAACTTCTATTTATTTGTTTGGATTCTGATTTATTTCCTTTATTGATTTTTATGAACTGTCTTGTATAGGTGCTATTGGTTTAGTTCGTATTTTGTTTAAAGATATATCATTTATATTTGTATACATAGTTTAAGCACACCTAGACATTAAATTATTACATTTTTATTAAATTCTAAGTTTAATTAGGTTTAAAAAGCAGATCATATGACTCAACTAAAGTTTTCTATTAATTACAAAAGCCGCTAAAGCTTTTTTTGGTGTCAATTATAGCAACTACAAAATTACAGAATTTTTGTATTCGAATTCTGAAAAAAATCAACATCTTGAATCATGAATGTGTGGGAAGTTATATTTATTATGTTTATTTTTAAGTTCAACGGTTATCAGAAGCATTTGCACGATTATAGCAGTAAATTTCTCAGTTTTGCATTTAAAATACAATAGTATGTTAACGAATGTTAAATTAAAATAATAAATTATTAAAAAATACGGCACAAGGAACATTATGTTTCAAATATTAGAAAATAAAATATAATAACTTTTAAGTAATTTAGTCTTCAACTAAAATACAAGCACTTTGTGCTTACACTATTTTGGAGAGCTCTATAAATTAATAAACTAGGAAAAGCAATTAAATATCAATGCTAAAAGCCGATAACAAATCAGTTAAAAAGAACTCACGCTATATCGTTACAACTGATAAGCCTCATTTTGGGTGGTTCGCGTCGACACAAAATCGAAAGACATGGGGACCGATAAGCAGACATAAAGGTAATTCATTATACATTGATTTTTTTCACAAAGACTTTTGGAATGAAATATGCACTAAATAAATTAACTACAATAAATGCCAAAGCGTGTGAGCTACGGGTTCGCTGCTGTTTGGTTTGGTCTCCACATACTAACCTAGACGCGTTGAATCTCGAAGAGCTTCACCTCCGTATCGTACCAAATGGCCGGATCCACGTTGCGCAGGTAGATGACTCCCCAGATGTAGGTCCGGAACCAGGCCGTGGTCCCCGCATTGGCCTGGTACTTCCGGATGAGAATGGGATGCGGAACAGGTAGCAATCCCACCAACGTTCCGTGCTGCAAAAACTTTAGGATCTCCGATTCGTCGGTCAGTCCCTTATCAATGCAGATCTTCTCAACCTGCGGCACTAGGACCTGCAGCAGTCGCATGATGGTCTGCAGCGGCAGTTTTGAACGCCAGGAGACGATCCACTCAGGCGTAGGTGTCCACCGATCGCCCTCTCCCGGCACCATGCGAATGCTGCCTCTGTGTGCCACCGACAGACGTGACAACTCCGTGGGGGAGTTGGACTTGCGTTCGCCAGTTGGTGTCGATGCAGCAGACCTGTCGTAGGGCACAATTTCTGTGGAATCCTCTGCCTTCGGCTTGTCATTTGGATGGGCCTGCTCTCGCTCCGTCATCTGGCTGATTCCTGGTGTGTCCAACAAGGAGGCCTTAAGGGTTCCCGGTTCAGCTGGCTGGGCCGTGAGAACGTCCGACTGTGGCTCTCCCGTCTGAGACCGCTCATGGGACTCTGTCTCCGATTCAAGGTCCTCTTCCGCCTTGGGCTCTTCATTTATGATGTCCTCCTCGTCCTCATCCTCATCTTCTTCGTTGTACTCCTCCGGCACATGGGCCGAGGGCAGCTCCTGCGAAACAGCTGCAGTTCTCCTTTGCGGAACCCGCGGCAAATTGAACTTTCCACATGTTTTGCGACCACTCAGGCACTTAGCTATTCCAGCCATATCGGTTGGGAGATTCGCCATGGCATGAAACACATGACGTTTGCGGATGATGGTGTAGACTAGATTCGAGTTGCCATCGAACTGGTACTGTATAATGTTGTTGAATATCTCCAGCAAGAAAAACACCAAATGATGATTGCTGGGTGCCGATAGCAAAAACCAAGGTGTGCTGAAGGCCTCCAGGAGATGTAGTAGCTTTACACTGGCTACCATTGACAGGGTTTTCAGATAGGGCGACACATTAACCAGAATGGTCAGCAGGCAATCAAAAAGGGGCTGCAATCGTTGATGGCCAGTGGCAATAATTTTATGGAACACCGTGATAAGTAAATCGGCATGGGTTCCAGTAAACACAGGTATATCCATGGGTACGGTGGCGGAGTAAGCTTTGTTCAGGCGAACTCCAAAGTTTCGTTCACCTATGAATAAATTTGAATTCAATTCATTAAGTCCACCACAATGTGAAAATGACTCACCCGATAGCAGCAACAGTATGAAAACACCAATGTGCATCAGACCCACTCGAGATTGGTCCGCGCGAGAGTAGTTTAGATGATACAGTATAGGAATAAGTATATCCAGGACATCAGAGCTCTTCAGCACGAAATAAAGAAACTTTTTGTTATAGTCGCATATTTTCCAAAATAGAATAAGCAGCTCCTGGTGACAATGCAACCGCTTCGTGGAGTTGGGCAAGTAGTTCTGCACTAGAGGGTTGTTTAGAAGGCGAGTGATGCCCTTAAGCACAAAATGAAAGTCCTCGTCCCGGTGAACACGAGATAGGTAGTTGATAAACAAGTTGTCGCCGGAGTTTCCCTCGTCATAGGAAGCCTGACCGGGTTGGGTAAGTTGCTGCTGCACCACCATGTCGTGATCTAAGGTGACAATAAGTAGCTGCAGACAGGCTTCTACCAGTGGCTCCGTGGTATCCGCAAACAAAAGGTGATTGTAGGGCACACCGAATCCCACCGGATCATAAGAGCACACTGTGTTCAGGAACGAGGTAAACAATGGCAGGGCGTGTCGATTGTCGGCGGAGGTGAAATAGGCTATCCACTTGTTGGGCTCCTCGGACTGCTGCGGTGATCGGTACATGGGCTCTGAGAAGCAGGTGAGCAATAGCTTTAGCAGCTCCGTTCGCCTCCGCTCCATTTGGGCGTTGTGGGGCGGCGATTGGGCAAATCCCACGCCCGCCTCCCAGATGTACTCACAGCTATCAATGTTGGCCAGCTCCTCTGCCTTCTCCGGACCCGTCCGCCGGGTGGCCGTGACCGTAAAGTCCGGACAGAATAGCAAATCACAGGTGGCATTCAGCAGCGATTGTGCCAACGGCATGGTCTTTTCCTGCGATGGCAGGCTGCTCCAGAAAAAGTCGCGCCACTTGTCGTCCTCGAAGATGTAGGGCAGGCACCGGACGAGCAGACGAACGCAATTCAGGACGCACTGCTGTTCCGCCTGCGTGCGACAGCTGCTGTCCACTGCCTGGGCTAACTTTTCCACCGCCTTGTAGCACAAAGTGGCCAGGTTAGCCGGATTTTCGTTCCGAATCTGACGAATCTCGTTTGAGGTGACCAGCGCGAAAACATCCTCCAGCGTCGTCTGGTGACCCTGCCAAAACTGCTCCCAAAACTGCTCGTCGCTGGGGTCTATCTTCTGATTCTTCTGCGTCAGCTGCACAATCGCTTTGCGAAAGTTTAACTTTGAGTCCGTGTTTCCCATATTGTTCGGGTTTCGGCTGCTTTGGTATCCCTTAAATCCACCTGCCCCGTGCTCGGTCCCTCAGAAGTGTACGCAGTGGTCTGAAACAAGAGCCCTTGGCATTTAATTTAATACGTTTCTGTTTAGAAAATCGAAGAAATTAGAAATTCGCCTACGCACTGCCAAGCAATCGCCAGTGTAACTTGGAGATGGGCTAAGAACTCACGAATAGAGATGAGTGCGTGACTGTATTAAATATATTTAATCAATAGACGTCGGACTATATGGTTCAACATTTTTTAACTTTTGAGTCTTTGAAATCTTTGATTAAGAACTAAATTTTAATTTAAGATCGCTTAGAATTAAATGTTTAAAATGTGATTGCATATGTATAATAATCACTATCGCTAAGCTTTCGAAAATTACGCATCGAGTTGGCATCGCCGGCAGTGCCAGTGTTGCGAAGGGAGCGACTGCCGGTGTTGGAAGACGTTCGTGCAAAATATTCGGACTGCACACAAGAACAAACGACACGTAAACGTCACCAAAAATTAGCAGCCAACAAGTTCGTTTAATTAAGTTTAGGGGACATGTGTAACTAGAAAGTGTTCCGAGCTTCATCCGTGGCTGCGAGAGAGTGCGAGTGGGCAAGTTGCGAGTGCCAAAACATATGCGAAGGTCGAAGGCGAGGAGGAGGAGCTGCCCTGCCCCACAAAATTGCAATTTTCTGCGCTAGCGCTGGAAGCCAACTAGCTGCCGTCGAAGATCCGTAGAGAAAGACCCGGACACAATGGCGCTTCCGGGCAATGGCATCTATGTGGTGCGGGGCGAGATGGCCACCCTGATGACCGCCATGCGACGTGGAACCCGTTGGAATGCCACAGCCTACGTGGTAACTAATGGATCTAATGGCCCCTGGTCGCCAGTAGTAATACCCTTTAATTCCTACCCACAGGACGACGAGAAGGACTCGTTACTGAAGATGTTCATTGACCTCAAACAGGATCTGAATCGCATCGAGGATCTGCGCCTGATCGAGCCGCAAGTGTTCCTGGCTCCATTTCTGGAAGTGATTCGCACGGCGGACACCACGGGTCCGCTAACTAGTCTGGCCCTGGCCTCGGTTAATAAATTCTTGTCATATGGGCTCATAGGTAAGATGATAACATTCCTCGCTCATTTTTTTCATTCATTGCTAATCCACAGATCCCACATCTCCAAATCTGGCCGACATCGTGGAACGCATTGCCGATGCTGTGACACATGCCCGGTTTATGGGCACCGATCAGTCCTCGGATAGCGTCACCTTCATGCGGGTTATTGAAGTGCTGCACACCCTCATCCGGAGTCCCGAGGGAGCTGCCGTTAGCAATGAGACGATGTGCGAGGTGATGCTCAGTTGCTTCAAGATCTGTTTCGAGGCAAGGCTGAGTGAGTTGTTGCGTCGCTCAGCGGAACAGTCGCTCAAGGATATGGTGTTGCTTTTCTTTATGCGTTTGCCGCAATTCGCCGAGGAGCGAAGTGACACCATGCTTCAGAAGCGATT